TAGGGCTTCAGCCTGGCCACCAGGTCTCGCGAGAGCTCCTCGTTGGGCGGCGTTGAGTAATCCCGGATCACCTGGAACAAGCAGGGCGAGACCATGACACCCTGGCACCGGGACAGGGTATCCCAGCCTGCCTCGCTGGTCGCTGCAGAGGGGCATTGGCAGAGCGGGAGAGCAAGGCTTCCAGACAGCTGGGGGGCACCGGCGGCGCTGGGGGGCGGGGAAAGACGCACCGGCAGAGCTGGGGGGCGGGGCAGGAGGCACCGGCAGCGCTGGGGTGGGCGGGGCAGTTTGTCAGGCTCTGCAGCGGGTGGGTACCAGCAGCCCGACCTGTTCTGCTCCCAGGCTGGGCTGCGGCACCACGCAGCGCCTGGCCTCACCGGCCCAGGGAGCCAGCACACGACAGACTGTCGCAGCCCGAGGGAGCAAGGGACCCGGGCCCAGGCCCCGAGCCGGAGCAGGACACAGTGTCTCAGCCTGCGCCCCGCAGGGGGAGCCGGCGCTGGCGCAGCCCGAGGGAGCGAGGGACCCGGGCCCAGGCCCCTAGCTGGGGCAGGATGCAGCATCTCAGCCTGGCACAGTGGGGGGAGCTGATACAGCGGGGGGTCAGCGGTACCTGTCTGAAGACTTGCAGCAGGGCGAGGCAGCGTGCGTTGGAGCCGTTCAGCAGCCCCTGGGAGTACTGCAGGCCGAGCCGCACCACGGCCGGATGGATTGCCGTGGCGGGGATGCTGGGGACACACGCAGGGCACAGATGAGAGGCCTTGGAGCTGGGAGGCTACACCAGCGCAGAAGGGGAAGGACCCTACGGCCCCCAGTGCTGGGTCACCCCCCCAGAGCTTCCATGGTGAGCCCCCAAGGGATCAACCTGCCAGGGAGAGGCACATGTGCCCTTCATGAACCAGGCCACCCCCCACGCACATCCAGGGTATCCCCATCACCTCCTCCCAGGGCACCCCCGTCACCCCGTAACCCCCAGGCGCACCCGGGACATCCCCGTCACCCTGTAACTTACACACCCACCCAGGGCACCCCCATCACCTCCTCCCAGGGCACCCCCACACCCACCTAGGGCATCCCCCTCCCCCCCATACCCCCCATTTCCCCCCAGGGCATCCCTGTCACCCCCCCCACACACACACACTCACACCCCCAGGGCATCCCCGTCACCCCAGCACGCACACACCTGGGGCATCACCCTTTGCCCCACACTCGTCCCAGGCCAGGGCTCCCTATTTGTCACATACTCCCCTAACCACCCAGGTTACCCCGTCCCCCAGACACCCTTACACACCGTCATAGGGTGCCCCCCTCACCCCATACTCCTCCAACACACACTGGGTGCCCCCTTCATTCCATACCCCACACACACAGCCAGTAGGCCCCCACGCCCCATACCCTCCCCACATGCAGGAAATGGGATGTCCCGGCCAACCCCCACAGCTGGCCAGGGCTCACCCTTCGCCCCACCAGGGCAGCAAGACCTGCCCTTGGGGTGGGCACCCAGAGCTGGGCATCCCACAGCAACTGGGCGTCGCCCCAGACGGGGCTCGCCAGCTTCCCCACATCCGGGAAGGACACACGGAGGCCAAGCTGCCTGGGCACAGCCCACCCCAGAGCGCAGGCTGCAGCCGACGTCTTCACCAGCCTCAGGGCCAGGGGCACAAACCTCATCTGCTGGGTCAGCGGCACCTTCCGGCTGTACTGGTGCAAGTGGGAGAAGAGGTTGACTTTGGCGCCATAGTCTTGCCTCAGAGGAACCTGGCATGGAAATTTCAGAGCACGCTGCTTCAGTGCGGGTCGGCAAAGGCCCTCTGCGAGACCCAGCCTGCTCATGGCACACCTGCACCCCTGGCCTCACCCCTGTTGGGCAATGCCCACCTGCCCCTGCCCCCTCCCCAGCAGGCACAGCCTGCCCACCCCTACCCCTGGCCTCACCCCTGCTGGGCACTGCCACCTGCCCCCTCCCCAGCGGGCACAGCCTGCCCATGGCACACCCGCACCCTGCCCCCACCCCTGCCGGGCACCGACCACCTACCCATGCCCCC